TTCGTGAGGATTTGATATCTGTCTATTGAGCCGCTTTTAACCTTAGATTCGGCAGAATTTTGGAACGCCATCGTACGTTGCATTGTTGTGAGTTTTGAGGGTGTGATCAAGAAGTATTTTCGTACAGGGCTGAAAACTTCGATTCGACTGCTTGGAGAGCTTCTACGAAGCCATTATTTAACTCGCCCCTGAATTTTAGATCGTATTCACGTAGGTAGTATAGATAGACTTACATAACTGTGTTTACGTTTTGCCATGTACTTACACTTAATGTGCTTGTATGAAAAATATAACCAGGTGAAACCGCGCGAATACCTATATGTACAAAAAATTACATAACATAACATCACGCCTTTTATCCCCGAAGGGGTAGGCAGAGGTGTACATTATGCCACTATACAATGTAACACCCACTTGGGGTAGGGGTGAGCGTATTGCCATACACCGGGCACAATACCAGACTACGTGCTACTATACTGTGATTTTTTTTGAAAAACCCAGTAATACTTTGCCCGACCCCGGAATCGAACCCGAGACCCCTTGCCCGGCAGTCGTACTTGCGACCACTCGGCCAATAAGGCAGATACAAAAAAATTAGTTCCCTATGTTTATAAAATGGCAGGTGTTTTAATTATAATAATGTGTAGTTTGCCAGTTACACCCTAAGGTCTTAGCTGGCTATGCATGGTACCTAATAACAATACGTTGGACGTAATGCCATATACGTCACTGTTGGACCCCCTTGCGGGACGAGCGTCACACGGCTGATTTACAATAACAACGTAGATAAACTTTTTGTGAGATTACTGAAGCTCTAAGTCTAATTACCACACATCTCCCTTTTCCCCAATCCCTGAATGTCTAACTATCTTCAAAAGAGGGTAACGCACATTTTTTTTTTAATTGGGACAAGCCCGCCACTACCTCCCAGAACCGCTGCAACTCCTGTAAGCCAGGATCTACAAAGTCAAAGTCAAAAGTCAAAATCATTTATTTCAATTAGGCCAGAATGGCACTTTTGAACGTCAACAAAAAGAAAATTACAAGTGAAGCTATTTGCTCATTCCAAGGTGTAGATTCCTATGGAGAAGAACGAGCAAGAAACTCCATAGGTTACTCTTTTTCAATCAGGTTCACAATACAATTTACTAGTTACATAGTTTTGCTGTTTGGATTGTGCGAGAACAATGTAACACCAAAATCCAGTCAAAGTGATTGAAAAAAAAATAACCTTAAAGACAATAAAAAATACAGTCTGGAGCTGACCAGTCCCAGTTGACGGCGCCCGTTCACGAACATAACACGTACACCAGCACCGCCTAACTCAACCATATTGTAGGGAATCGAGCGATCCACTGCACGCGCCACCGCCAATGAGACCTTTGAGTGAGCATGACAACTCCAAGCTGACACAAATAAATTTTACTAATCTGATTTAATATTAAGTTAATTACAGGGCTCTCACATTTACAACGCTTATCTAAGTTAAACAACATACAATTTAGCAATATGGTTGTATTATTTACGATTTCATTAAAATAACAGTGTTTTTAGTTATCCTGTGGAGCCGGACTACCCTGCATCCAAGCATTTTTATCCTCTATATATTCATTAAGTTTGTAATATGCTTGTCTACATAAAGTTTTCTTTATACATAATTTAAATTTGGATTCATTTAGTTGTTGTACATCGCCTGGTATCTTATTATAACATTTAACACAGAATCCCACTAACGACTTACTTACTTTCGCTAATCTCGAAATTGGCTGACTTAATCTATTCTTATGTCTAGTTTGATAGTGGTGTCTGTCCGACACTTTACCAAATAACTCTAGGTTTTTCCTAACATACATAATGTTTTCATAAATAAATTGACATGGGACGGTCATAATGTTGATCTCCTTAAACCTTTCTCTGAGAGATTCGCGACGACCTAGATTGTAGATAGCTCTGACGGCGCGCTTTTGTAAGATAAAGATAGACTCAATGTCAGCAGCGTGTTCCCACAGCAAAATACCATACGACATAATGCTATGAAAGTAACTGAAATACAATAGTCTTGTCGTGTCTATGTCAGTTAAACTGTCAAACACCAAGCGGTCATCGGTGACCGCAACCTATTGTTCTTTAATTGTGTCTATAAGTACGGTACTCGACGAGTTAACTGTCGTATCTTCCAGACAGCATAAGCTGCAGAGCTCAATCGTCCCGCTAATGATGTAATGTGAGGACCCCATTGTAATTTGTCGTCTACAGTAATTCCCAGGAAAGTTGTCTCTTTTACAAACTCTAATTTCTCACCATTCAATATTATGTCACATTCGTTGCTTTTAACATTTGGCAAAACAAATCTAATACATTTTGTCTTTTTATTGTTGAGTACTAAGTTATTTAATGTAAACCAATTTTGAACTTTCATTAGGGCATTATTTACTTCGTCATAACTATTTGTACGTCTATTAATTTTAAAAACGAATGAAGTGTCATCAGCAAATAATACCATCTGCGGTTCATTTTTAAATAAATGGGGCAAGTCATTTATGTAAGCTAAAAATAAGAATGGACCTAGTATCGAGCCCTGCGGTACACCCATAGATATGCTAATTTACTTTATTAATTCAATGTCAATATTTATCAAATAAATAATTTTATAATTTATTTATTTAGATTTATTATTTGAATATTTATTATATTCATAATATTAATATTTAATAGTTAAATTTAAATAGCTTATAAATTAGTGTGCGTGTGAATTTACCCTGTGAATTTACTTTATTTACTTGTACTTTAAGTTGCCTATCCTGAAGGTATGACTTCAACAGATTTAGCGACGTCCCCCGAATGCCGTAGTGTTTCAGCTTCAGCAATAGCGTCTCATGTTCAACACAGTCGAATGCCTTCGAAAGATCACAAAATATGCCGATGGCATCCCGTGCTTCTTCCCAAGAGGCGAACACCCGCTTAATTAGAGCTACTCCCGCGTCAGTAGTACTACAGTAGATGCAACCATGGAAACACCGGAACATTGAAGTCCGGCGCGTCCCAGGGACATGAGTAACTGTCTTGGTTCCCGCAACGAATTGAATCAAAAGATATTATAAGAGGAGAAGAAGAAAAAACTATAGTTTCCACTTCCCTCGGTGAATTACTCCAGGAGACAGAATGAATTAAGCCTGAAGGCACAAAGAAGAGACTTTCCAACTGGGTGAAGCCCAGTCGCCAAGCACCACGGAAATTTGACTAAAAAACTAAGTGGGTCCTATGTGTGAGCTGTTATACTTGCTTCCAATAATAGGTATGGCAAAAGCGCCTAAACGCACGGAAATTTGTTCTGGATTCCACAAGGTCCGTATAATAAGCTACACCTGACGAAACAATTAAATTATTCAACATAGTGTTACGTTCATATTGCCAGAGATCACACTCCCAGAGTATGTGATGGGCCGACTGCTCGTATTGCAACTCCACTGTCGAACATTGGCACCATGGTGAATCAATAAGTTTAAATGAGAACAATTTGCTTTTACCAAAGGCGAAACAAGTGCGTTACCATCAGGTGATCCGTCTGCTTGTTTACCGGCTTATCCCATAAAAAAAGACTAGGAAAAAAGGGTTTAGAAAATGAAACGACGAATTCAATACCGTTTTTCGAATTTATTTTTACATATTAGATGATTAATACGTACAGTCTTGGGAATATAAAAAAAACGCTATAATTTACAACAAATTGAATGTTATTTCCATTGGAGTACCAAAGTACCCAATATATATACACTTAGAAGTAAAAAAATAAAATTAAAAAAGTGGCGTGCATGGTCACGGCTATAGACCACACATAGTTCTTAAACATTACATTTATTTACATAGGAATTAATTAAATGAGCATTTTTTACTAATGCAACATTATCATTCATTCATTTCCATTTTCAAAATAACATTATTCCAGTAAGATGGTACCTTTTTTATTTATTTATCAATAAATATTCTTTAGTGATTTTTTCTGTCTAATTTATACATTTATTTTTATCTATCTATTGTAGTGGCAACATTCATTATTTTTACCTATTTATTATAAGTGGTAAGACAGTAATATAAAAAAATGAAAATGTCAAAATAGTTGCCTCGCGTTAAAATTAATTATCATTACTATACTTTTTTTAATATTACTGTCTCAATTACCACATAATCATCATTATTTTTATGTTGTACATTTCAACACATTTATAAAGATATTTTTATGATTCCAATGTGTTAACAGATACAAAAACGAGTTCCCTATATTTATAAAATGGCAGGTGTTTTAGTCACAATAGAAAAAATTAAACAGTAAAGTATGTTTATGTAAACGTCCTTTAAAAAGGCCTATGTTGAACAGTGGCCATCTTGTGACAATGATAATGATGATGAAATGTCCTAATAAAAGGACACTATTGTCAATTTTTTTATATTTATTATATTTCACTGTTTAACTTTCGCCATTCACGTTTCTTTTGTTGACTAGTCAAAACTGTAGAGTATTGTTATTACGAAATACTATATTATTACGAAAATAATCTAATAATGATGACATTTAGAACATTTAGATTTTAACATGTTCTTACGAGTAATTAGCCAAATAATACGAATCAATCATTCTAATAGTGCTTGATATATTTAATGGATATGATGAAGACGTAATTATAACATTCAGATCAGAAAATCAACTGACATAAATATTTTTCACATAGTCACAGAAATATGTACCTACGTATATGTTGTTAACTCAGTTACATAATAATTATTAAAGATAATTTTAATAATACCACATTTAATTTATTAAAACATAAAGTGTAGTCACGTAACTTTTCGAGGTTACTCAACTAATTTCAAACCAAGATTGGTGTATAATCATATGCTTGAAACTGATGGAGCAATCTCGAAAAGCCGTGTGAGTAAGCAATATATTTTAGTATTTATTAAGTGATATTATTAAAATTTTCTATAAAAGAATAAAGTGCGACCAGCAACTGTAGCCAAATACAATTTAGCGCTTGTCTACATGTAGATTAAAAAACCAAATTATATGGAATTGACGTAAATTTTGACACTTGTCTGTGTCATCCCCATACATTTAGTTTTCTACTCTCTCTGTACACAAGCGCTAAAGTGGCGTTTGGCTAAAGGCCCAGCATTTATTGAAATGTTGTTGTACACTTAATACTTAGAATTATTTTGATAATATCTTAACATTAAATATGGACAGATTGTTTCAAATAAAATGTTTATATTGATATCACATACATTAAAATCTTTATTTATTACTAAACAAACTGATTAGGATATTGTAATTATGTGTGTCTTATTATCTAAGTGAGAAATGATATTAGAAATTTGATTTGCAAACCGAAAATGGTTTTGGCTAAAACCCTGCAAAATGATACAACTTTTCGTTTTTAAAAGATAGCTAAACTTGTTTAAAATGAAAATGTCATAAGATATATCTTACAGAGACCGTAAAAACTAAAAAATAAGCTATTTACAGAAGGCCGTTACGAATATTATACTTAGATTAGGTCGTTTTATATCTAACATTTACAATTTTACATGATTTTTGATTCAACGTCAAATGGGTCATGGCGTAAAAATGAATTTCTTATTGATACGTATATCTTTACGTAATACTCTTCGCTTAGAGGCCGTAATTAAGTCAAGAAATTAAAAAGAAATCAATATGAACTGTACAGTTGTAAGTATAATTAAGTTACTTAAATAAAATAGCTTTAAAATGCTTTATTTCGCCTGTTTTAAGGCATATTTTATTATTTATTCGTCCGCACTGAGGATTCTCATCATATTTTGATGAGCACATCATCAATGCATCATATCTAAGTGTACACTGACTGGAGAATATCAATACAAACTTGATAGCACAGCCAGACAGAATATATTTTATCAAAAACTGAGTTCTGTCGTATACGACAGATTTATGGTAAATCAGGTATGCGAAGGCTGAGGGTTCGGAGACGAGTCCTTCATGGAGCGGATCCTCAGGAACCCGTCTTGAGCAACTAGCATACTGTTCCCCTCGGCCTCCGCTGGGATTTCATCCTGCGGTTGGGAGTACGACGCCTCGTAACTGCAGTTCCTAGGAGCTGGTTGAGGGGTCCCTCCTAACGCGCAAGGATATCCCCTCTCATTAGGGTCCTCTGAGAACCCGTACAAATCCGTAGACTTGGGTCTATCTGGAAAACCATTGCCTTTACCACGCTTCTGACTGCCGCTAGAGTTGACCATGGAAGTCGACGGCGAATTTCTGCGCTGCGAGCTCCTGATCTGTTGGCAAGGGTCATTACTATAACTCCTATTAGGGTTCAAAGTCTGGATGCCAGAAGCGTGGTAGGAGGCGTTTTCCGCATTATAGTTGCCATATTCATCAGGCGAATGTGGCTGATGGTAGTGGTGTCCGATCGAGGAGTCGTATCCCATCGTCATACAATTTTGAACATTTTTGTTCTTCGCTCGATGCTTCTTTCGAGGATTACTATTGGTCCTTGAAGACACCCTGTCATAGGACATGTGTTTGAAGTTGTGTGAACTGCGGTTGGAACCTGCGTTGTAGTTTTGGTTCTTGATATCTCTTATAAAGTCACTGTTGCTTCCGTATTGAATGACATTATACTCGTGGTCTAAGGGATCGTCACCTTGAAGGGACTGTATGGCAGGGTCGCAGTTCGAGTAATGATCGTCCGAAGCGGACTCGATTCCATTATACCCTGCCATGTTGGGATGGTGTTTGATCAGGTGGTTAGTAACACCTTGACTGGAAGTCGCGTTACTGGACTCCGTGGAACTACTGTGACCTGCGTTCGCTATGGAACTGTGTCCAGAATAATTCTCAGTTCCAGAATTATTGTCGCAGTTACCAGTCAGAGTGTTGAGTTGGAACCTCTGGTGGTCCAACACTGGCCCGCAGCAAGGGTCTTGCATGGCTGGGTGGTGGCCAGTCGTTTCATATATAGGCTTACCAGTCCTCATCGTGTACGTATGAAGATTGGTGTTAGTGTTGCATATCGCTGGGTAGTCTGATTCGAACTGTTCGTTACTGGAACCAGCCCCACAAGCGAAAAGACCGAGCCCAGATATTTTGTGACCGTCGGCCTTTTCGTGTTGAAGAGCTATTCCAACTTTCAGACTTATGACCCAGGAGATAAGAGCAACTATGCTGACTTCAAGAAGCCTCAGAGAGAATTGGTAGCCCCATTGAAGCCAGTCGAACTTGGTCATGTTATGTTGGTTTATACCAAAGATGCCAAATATCTGCAGACCAGCCATCAGAATGAATAGTAATGCCGTCGCCAATTTTATCTGGATAGCATGCTGCAGATTTTGGAAACCATTAATATAAGTGTGACTCTTTTTCTGAAGTACAGTTTTGAGCATTTTATATACATATAGGTAGCAGAGACCTAAAGTAAGGCATGCTATTATAAATATTATTTGACAAGTAAGACCTAATACCCTCTTTTCGCCGCCGTGCGTACTTCTATTAATTGTATTATTACTCTCAAAGATATGCAACATTAAACAGGACAGTATGTGCAGACTGCCGCCTATTATAATAATTCTAGGACGAAGGAGGAATGAACAGCAGGTATTCTTAAAGTTAATGCTATTTGTTAGGAGGAATAGTATGATACAAGCGAATGCTATGCTAAGGAATATTTCTGGGATGTGGAGGAGGATTTCACTTATGAACTTAGGGAGGGAATTGTTTATGTTGTACGGATCGTAGCACATGTAAAAGATTCTGAGAAGACAGACGAGGACCAAGATCAGATGTAAGATGATGAAGTAGTACTGAGTGAACAAATGCGTGTACTTGTTGTAGCAGACTATTTTAAAGATGGAGTATACTGCTAGAATGGTGAACATGACTGTCGCGAGGTAGATGTGGAGGTTCCACGCGAACGGCCAAGCTGCACCCGGTCTTTGAACTGGCCCTGAGTTCTTCGAATCTTGTTTCAAGATCTTTTTATCTGAATTTACATTCGCTAGATTATGATACCTTTCCGTAGACATTTCAGGGTCTTTTAGCTCAAAACCTATGGTAGTAGCTGGGGTATATTCATCCTTCCTACTTTCATTTCTATCTGTCTGTTTGTTAGTGGCATATTGGAGATTCCTTCTCGTGTTGGTCTCTCCATTTTGGTCTACAATTAAAGGTCTATCTAGATTGTTCATTTCTGGGTCTAAAACTGCTAAAACGGATCCTTCTGTTGAGGAATCCCTACTGGAGTCACTTAAGGTGACTCCGACCTCCTTAGTGACGTAGACGTCACTCTTGGAGGTCTTTTCTTGGTTATGTTGGGGTTTTGCGGTGACGGTTCGTAAAAGAACGTCGGGTATATCTTCCTTGCGTCCATTGGATCCTGAGAGTATTCTTGATATGGTCGGGATGTTCAGGGAGTTCGGTACGAAGTCGGTGAAGTTTGCTTGGTCGGTTCCCGGCTGTTTGATGTCGCTGTCTAGTTCATCCGGCTGGAAAGTAGAAAACGTATGATTAGGGGGATAATACAAATTGAATAGGGGCATAGAATAGAGGATTTGATTGGCCCATTTATTAATTAGTATTATTTTACAATAGAACGACAAAGCACCATGTTCTTTAAGAAGGACGATAGTTATTTTATTATTTTACGCAGATGAAATCGAGTTATTAGTTCTTACCTTATGGCTAGGCGTATTGAGAGGCTTCTTCTTCTGGGGTTCGATACCCGCCGGTGGCAGTGGCGGTGCTGGTGGTGGCGCTGGCACCTGGGGCGATGAAGTTTCCTGAAAATTTAAAAAATGTATTATTAAAACCAAGAGCTAATCAGAAATATAACTAAGAATACTTTTCTTGAAACCAAGTAAAATTGAAGAAATTTAATGATTTTTGACGATTAAAGTTTGTAAATCATAATAAAATAACGAAGGAAACTAAAGTTCACACGGGTACTGAAAATTGTTGATAACCAGGCCACGTAACGTTTAAGTCATTAACTGTAACCACAAATAACACGTTGCGTTTACGTTAACGTGTCGATAATTAATTCAGAAGTACGTTTGAACCATATTTGAACAATGGCTGTAATGAGTAGGTATTCAATACAGAATGCTTACTGGTGCAGGTTCGTGGACTGCTACCACATTTTACAGACTGTGTACTATTAACTGCTAGGAGAAGGATCGTGGATTCTATTCTTGATTGAATAAAGCATATTTTATGTTTTCGTAAACTCTCACAAAATTTTTTCTAGTGAAAGAACCAGACACGAATTGACCAGCTCGATAGGACCTTTTTTTAATGGGACAAGCCCGCCATATCCACATCTTCCCAAAACCGCTGCAACTCCTGTAATCTAGAATCTACAGTAGATACAACCATGAAAATGCCGGAACACTGAAGTCGCGTCCCAGGGACGTGAGTAACTGTCTTGGTTTCCGCAACGAAATCAAATCAGAAGATATTATAAGAGGAGAAGGAAAAAACGATAGTTTGCGGTTCCTTCGGTCACGGCATACCACGGCCTGACAGAAAACCGACGTGAAACAACCGTTGTGTGTTGTGGAGTTTTTTTTTCAAGGGGGTAAAATCATCGAATTCCTTCTCCCGCCTGGGTGAGGCGGAAGGGCGTGTCAGACTCTTACTGACTAAAAACCACCCCGTTCCTTCTCCTGCACGTCGAGCCGGAGCTCCGGTTACCCGTTAGGTTCTCTGCGACGTGTGTTGTGGTGTAAGGTTATCACTGGAGGCCCAATAAATCTTCTCTCCAACCCAAATCCCCAAACCCCATTCTTAATACGGGACTCATAGTACAAATGGTTCCAAGTGGATGTGATAACTTAAAATTCTGTCTACCCTCTATAACCTTAACAAGTTTAATTGCTTACCTGTCCAGGAGGTCTGATGGGTATCCTGTCATGCCCTGGCCCCAACGATGGAGGGGGTATAGGCCGCCTATTGAGATAATTGTTTCCATCTGTATTTGTGCCTGCAAAATCAATACATTATTTAATTAGGAGTAATTAGAGCTGTAATTGGGAAATATCTGGGTCAATTAGGGTAGGTAGGTACATATATTTGATAGGTTTGTCGGAGGTTATAGATTCGTGAAATAGGTTGTGTGAAGATATTTTTGAAGTGGAATTTTAGCTATAGGTTACCATAAATCAGTAGCTTCTCTTGTTTGTTTATTATTCTCTAGAATTTGATAATCAATTAGATAAGTATTTAAGTAAGGTGTGGCTGTTTTGGTAATGTTAGTAAAATCTCTATAGCTAAGTAAATATATTCAACTTTGGTAGAAGATTTACAAGAAGTGTTGAATAAAGCCAAAACCGGTAAGATCTAGAATGTAACTAGAACATTACTGGATCGAAGAAATTCGAATGAGGATTGGTAAGACAATGTCAGTCTCAAACTTTCAATGCTACTACCTACATTATTATGTTCTCATAACAAAAACATTGTAATACATGATGCTTACAGAAAGTTACTTAATCAATATGTAAATCAAAACTCCTTCTACTAATCATTCTACTCAAAAAACAATTAAAATATAGAACCACATTACACAACTCACCTCGAAGTGTTGGCTTGTCAGCGAAGGGGTTTCTGTACTCAGGCGGCAGAGGGGGGGTGAAGAAAGCTCTGCCAGGGGGTGCGTACGAGGGGACGGCACCCCCTCCCCCCACCCCGGCCAGCAGGGCCGCGCCGTGGTGCTGTGGTGGCCTGCAAGAATACAGACGTCGTTAGAAATTGGTGAAAGATGATGATACCTGGTATTGGTAGATTGAGCATGTGAGGAGGTCGAAGTAAGTTTTTTATTAAAAAAAAAACGCGGCCCCACAGTAGTATTTTCTCATGTGTCGTGGGTGTGATTACAAACATACAATTTCACATACACATCACACCCAGACCCAAAACAACAATTTGTGGATCACACAAAGTGTTGTTCCGTGCGGGAATCGAACCCGCGACACATTGCACGGCAGCCGGTTGCCCAGCCACCGCACCATAACGTTTCTTACCGCACCATGCTCATGAGGGGTTCTTCCTCATGAGCAGCGTGCGGTGTCGCGGTGATGTCAAGTTATATAGCCGTGCTCTGTGGTTCGAAACTAGCAGAGCTTTTCTCAGTATATTCACGTGAGTAACCCGCGATTTTTAGTTAATTTAAGTCTTTTCATTATCCAGAGCATTGAATAAAAGACAAGACCTAAAAGTACAAAGAATATGAAATGTCTAATTAAAGTTTTAATAACTAACAACCCTGTTCGTTAAGATTTTAATTATAACAGTGTAAATAAAAAGGTCCTATCTGATATCTTTGCTGGTTTTCTTTGTATATTTGTTTTAGCCCGAGGCTAAAAGTGGTATTTCATAAATTACTTAAGATAGTTCAACTATGAATTCGTATCTAAGATAATATTGGTATTTTACGATCATAGTTAATTGAGCTTTGGCAACTGTAGTTTCTGGTTATCTCGATAGAAAAGCCTAGGTTAGTAGTTACCTATATACCTAAGTCATTTGCTCATTTGATACTTGTGAAGTTGCGTTAAGCCTGATATTTAGGCTACATATGTATAAATTAATAAACAGTATTTCTGTTTTCTTTCTTTTGTTAAAAACATTTCCCCACACTAGAATTTTCTCCTGTGTCGTGGGTGCGTTTACAAACATACAAGTTCACATACACATGACACCCAGACCCGGAACAATCATTTATGGATCACACAAAGAGTTGTTCTGTGCGGGAATCAAACCATCGACACGTTACACGGCAGTCAGTTGCCCAGCCACCGCACCAACCGTGCATTTCTCAAAGCTTTAAAATTTTCCAATTAAAATGCAACACAGTTATCAATAAACGTATAATGGAGGTATTGTAAATATTTTGCAAAATGCACATGCAAGGCACAAATCGCTTGAATGAAACGTAATTCCCTTCTCGTTTTATTTCCTTGGCTTGCAAATCGAGACTTAAATAAAAAAACCTAAACAAGTCTCCATTCTTTGCCAAATATCTTTCGCTTAAGTCGAAATAAAAATCAAGCAGCATTTGTAGTGTTTTCATTTGTTTCTTAAGGGATTTTATGGATTAAACATAAATAGGTCCACTGTCTGCTTTACAAAAGAGGTTTTTGTTATTCTACGCTTGGCACGGTGAATTGAAGACCCCAGTTAAAAAAGTTAAGGTTTAATAGAGAGTGTTACTGGTCAGTCTATATCAAATGGGTAGCCCTTTACCCTTAATCGGCGCTTAAGAAACCATGATACCCACGGAAAGAGTAGGGATGGTGCTAAAATGTAGATATTTACTCTATTGTCAGTAGACTGCAGAGTACCTACTATATAGAGTAGGTACATACTAAATTTCAATCATGCATATTGTAGTCAATAATTATACATTTAGATTTATTCAGATTTAGTTAGTTAGATAATTATCTAGATTTAGTTCTGTTCTATACCATAGAACTTCAACGTTAAACTAGTCAATAGTACCTACTACAGGATTTATGCATGAAAGATGAAAGATCGTATCTTATAAAATCGTTCTTAGAATGCCGTACAAGAGCTTGCCAATTCCTTTAGAATTTCTGCACGATGCATATAAAACGAGACTCCTTGGATCCAACGCAAACACAATACAAATCGCCAGTATTGTGAGATGGTGACTTCAAGTCCTACAAATCATATGATTACGCTTTTATACTTTAGTAGAAATAGCTGAGATGGTGAATAATGCTAAGTAGGTATTGTGGTGTGAATATAAAGCGTTTGTAACGGGTAAATGTATGAGCGTTAGAGAAAACGTCCAAAAACAACTGTAAAATGATGTATTTAAAATTTGCCTTAGAAGGAATAAACAAAGATGTAACTTCTTCGATGGTTAACTTCTTTGTCTAATTATTCTTCTAACAATTGATATTTGTTAGTAATTAATTGTCTTCTGTACTCTTTTTTATGCCTTTTTGTTTTTTCTTTTTATCTATATGTGGAGGCTTGTAATTAGCAATTTCTCAATATTATACTCTTATAAAATCATTTTCAAGGTATTAGTCTGTAAGCCTTCTTAAAATAAATAAATAAATATATGAAAGATTAACAAAATAACTGTAAATAATATCGACAAACTAAAAAAAAAGAGGTAACGCGTCATACTTAAAAATAATCACCTTACAAATTCTTCACAGCATATACACGATACATCATAATATTGCTATCAAAATCACAGCAGGCGCTACCTACTAAACTCCATACATCGCCTACCAATTATTTATACTAAGAATTCCAACCAACTATAATTCAGTAACATAAATAGCAAGCAAGGTATAAACATCCTGTCCACCATAGCATCTTAATATTCCCATAAGTATCAAATTTCCATGTCACAGACGCAAAGGACAACAGTTGGTACGCCATTGTCTTTATTCTCTATGTTGCAATAGAAATTCCACGTCCAATGCGTCTTCTGATTTCATAGAAATGTGTTATGTTTGTGTTGATTACTTGATATGTTGTGTGGAAGTGTATTTTGTTTACGTAGTCATCATTAATGGGTGTTGTAGGGTCGTTTATATTTCTTCAGCGTCCTTGTATAAGGCTATTTTACTTAGAATATAAGTCTAAGTAGATGAGAGCTAATTGGCGTCTACGTAATGTTTTTAATTTGATAATTGAGTAGATAAGGTTAGCTTTCAACCGGTGGTCGAGAAGTCTTTGGGGGAGGCCTATTTTCAGCTGCGGACAGCCTAAAGGGTTCGGGGTTACTGGGGCTCCGGTTTTAAGCAGGAGTAGGAATGGGGTTTTTAGTCAGTAAGAGTCTGAGATTCTCTATCGCCTTACCCAAGGCGGGAGACGTATTTGTATGATTTTCCCCCCACGAGGTATTAAGGCAGTTAGGATATATGGTTATCTTCGAAAATATAGTCTAAACCACATGGTCCGTGTTTATTATTATATTATATAGTTAATACCAAAAACGTAAACAAAATAAAAACTTCATTCCCACAAAAGAGGTTCGTTCGTTAAAGTTAAATACTTGACGGAGTAAAAAAATACAAACAAACTGAGCTATTTTGTTGTTTTTTAAAAGGCAATTTAATACCGCGAAATTGGAGCGTAAATTTCATAATGGCAATACCGTATAAGCGAATATTTTTCTAAATGTCGTTGACCTTAGTGTTTGTGTAGTATCCAGCTTAACTTGACCTCCGTATGAGTATTAATTGTACTGGATGAGGGATCAACATTCGTATCTCATACTGTTATGGAAATGACAAATACTGGCAATGTGCCATAGTTACGCCATTCAGTTCATTTTATTTTCGGTACTCAAACCGCATTTTAATGAGGATCGTATAAAAAGTCTAGATTTTTAGCTTAAAAATAAGTAAGTAGGTACCTGTTGAGGCCACGCGCGCGAATTTTAAGTCGCGAAAAATAGGTGGGCGTAATATGGCACCTACCGAAATTATTATTCATAATTTTGTATTCATAAATGGCAATCACAATGACTAAACTAAAACAATGGATAATTCAAACTGACGTACCACTGAATAAATAACATTACGTAAATAAACAAAACTTTTCGTTCATAATACCCTTTGTTACTTTGTGCGATTCGCTAATAGATGGCGTTACTGGGACAATGCAGATTGTAATCAGATTAAAACTCAACCACAATTTAATGGCTATTGTTTTTACTATCTCAAATGAAACATTTTCAAATACAATAAAAATAGTTAAACCAAAACACAATAAGATTAAAAAGAGATAAATTTTAGTGGATGCCATTTAAATGAAACATTAACAAATGTTAGTTTTACTGCTCGCCGCTAGATGGTGTTAGAAGCTACAGTTAGATAAGTTCGTTATCTTTCGTTCAGCTTTATTAGATTTTAAACAAACGATGTTGGCATAATATTGTGATATTCAAATTACAAAGTTGTAGGCGTTTACATCTCCTACAAGATGACTATTAAGATAAATATTATAATTTGAAAGCCAGTTCATAGATAGGTAGACATTATTAATATTGATAATACATTTATTACGAGTTTTTTGCTAAAATTATCTTTTTGTCACATAAATTAGACCGAGTCTATATTATTTTTGTTTAATAGACACGCATATTTTTCGTTACATTTTTCCAGTTTCCATTTTAGAAACATTTTAAGTAATCAGAATATATTTTATAGATTTTTTTCTGTGGAATTTTAAACTAAAAACGGAATAAGAGATTATCATACCTACCTAGAGATATTTATATTGTTTTCGCAATAAAACAAACTACAGAACTATGCAAATATAAATGTGAACAACAACGACTAGATTAATGGTCGCCTGCGGACAAACCAACCATAGATTAAACCTACTCTAGAAAAGAAAATACTCTTTATGATTTTTTTTTAATTTATGTGTCAGTTGTAACACAAATTGTACCTGTCATAATTTGAATATGGAAGATACTTTTGCCAAGGACGTTTTTTTATTTGATTGACAACTAGCCAATTAGCTACTTGCAATAATGAAATCAAAATGTCAGAATTAATATTACATACAAATCCTGTTTATCAAACGGATGCGGCAAGTATTTAGCACCTGCACCATATTTAAAAACATATTTTTCAAACTACATAGTATGTCACATAAAAATCAAATTATCATTTCTTTTTTCAATCTAACGACTTGATAAATTATTCATAAAATTCGACACCATTTTC